AAAACATGTATAAAATCATTCATTTAGCATAGACAACAAGTACTCAGATAATATGCACACATAGCACGTAATTTATATAAAATACTTCATATCTATGTGTAAGATGAAAGTAACTATACACTCACAACACGTAATTTATATTAAATACTTCATATCTATGTGTAAGATGAAAGTAACTATACACTCACCTGGAAGGTGGTGACTCAGCACTCGGACAGCGCTTCGATACCCTCAAAACAATTTCCTTCGATAAAACCTAGTACCAATACCACTAGGGTTTAGTCTAACGATAACCGCGACAAATTAATTAGTCTGACTATTATTATTATTATATAAGCGTTAATAACACTCAATATAACTCATAATAATAGCCTAAATAATTATTTTAAGGACCTAATAACATTCCTATAATTATTCGAAAGCTATATTGAAAATTGCGTAAGCGTAGCTCACTTACAACGAATTTTATGGAAAACCGGAACTTTATTTGGAGCAGCATTTCGAAACCGAAAGACCCTTTTTCTCGGGACTCCGGGAGCCTCGGGGCTTCCCTCGAGTGCTAGGGGATCACCTAGACTTTAGGGGACTCAAAAGGATATAGAGAAAGAGAAATTTCTTAGAGAGAGAGAGTGAGAAAATGTGTGAAAAAGTTGGAGACCCTAGCCCCCCTTTTATACCCAGTGAGGCCTTGGATTACGTTGGGCGTAGTCCTTGGCTACGTTGGGCGTAATGCTCGGATAAGTGTCCCAGCGAGCCTCCAACTGTCTCGCATTTGGAAGGGATAAGAACCGAAGTACGCTGGGCGTACCCAGGCTCGGACATGGGGCGTAGATGCGAGTCGACGTGGCGTGATTCGAAGCGAAGCCTTGGTCAGCAAGCAACGGCTCAGATGCGGCCACGTCATCAACCTCTCGCAGATTTCGAAATTTTACACTCCGACTTCTAAAAATCATATCTTTAGCATAAGAGCTCCGTTCTCGACGTTCTTTATATCCACGCGAAGGTGGGAACGTATTCTGCAACTTTTGTTTAGAATTCATCAGCTAATTTTGAATTGATTTTAAATTTTATATTTTTAACACACCGGGACAGGATTGGTCCGTTAAATCCTCATAACTTCTTCATCCGACGTCCGTTTTCACCCATCTTTTTCTCGTTACGCTACTCTTAACGAGATCTTTGATTCTCATTTAGGTCATGTCGGCTGAAAACCGCTCGATCTAATATTCGAATTTCGGGATGTATACTGCTAATCCGAAACTTCAAAAAATATAACTTCTTCATACGAAGTCAGATTTGGGCGTTCTTCTTATCGATGTTCTTAGTTTAACATATTCTACTAATTTCGTTTAGATCGCTAAGGCTAAATCTCGCTCTATCTTAAATTCACTGTTTACGCTTCCCGGTATCGTGCCGGTTCCGTCGAGAAACTTCAACCGGTCATAACTTCTTCGTTATAACTCGGATTTCGGTGTTCTTTATATGTACGGAAACCTTGAGACATATTATACAACTTGGTTAAGATTATTTATTCTAAATAATCTTTTGTCAAAAAGTCATTTTTGACCCCTATTGCCTCTAAATTCACTAGCCCGGATCTATGGGCATTACAGACCACCACATTCAACTGTTTCAGTAGATTGTCCCTTGCACTTTACCTTACTTCTAGTTGATGGCCCACCACATTGAAATGTTTCAGTAAATGGCCCACAACACCTCCACATTTGACCCTTATCCTGATTTTATCATTTTTTGCTATGTATAGGGACCTACTTGTATTTACAGCATGTGCATGCATGTAGTCCACAACTTCCTTCTTTGTTTTGAAACACTGCCCCACCCTATATGGTTTTAAATGGATCTCCCCATGTGAGCATGTAGTTGACCTACTCAACTCCTTAAGCATTTTTGTCCTTTCATCTTCATAAAATCCTTCATACTGATAATCATCACTTTGAATAACTTCCAACTCTTCTTCAACTATGTCATTACCTATACTTTTGGTTTGCTTATTTAAAATCCCATGTTCATCTACATCCACGGCACTTTGGAATTCACTCATGTCTACATCCACATCAAATTGCAAGTTAGACTCATGTACAATGTAGTCACTATCATCAGAATCATCTCCACTATAATCAAAACCATCTTCATTCTGACTATAGAAAGCATCTCCACTTTCATCACTTATCACGCCCTTTAGAATTTCCATTTCTACTTGATTGTCTTCACCGTTTGGTACATTGTACTCAGCATCCAAAGTCAGCATAAGTTGAATAATCATCTGTAAATGCTTCAAATTCATCGAGTCTTACACTTTGTTGTCCATCAATATCTTCATAAATTGATTCCTTTGCAAGATTGCCTAAATTACCCTTACACACTTCTTCTATGTGGCCCATGATCAATCCTTCATTCACATCAATGACATTACTTTGTTGGCTAACTTGAGACATAACATATGGAACAATAGTCTTTGAATGATCCTGACTTTCATCCATATCTATTACCTGTGACTGGTCAACAACATGGTTGGCAGGGTGGTCTAACTCAAGCTTTTTACTACACGATCCTACTTTTCTTCTACAAGGTCTTGTTCTATTAAGTTCCGGTGACACACTCTCAGGTTCCAGTTCCTCAGTAATAACTTTGGAAGGAGACTTAAAATAACTAGCTACCCTAGTCTGACCAATTTCAATATAGACCTTTACAAGTCTGTGCTTAGGGACATACGAAACCAATTTAAGAACATCTTGGTCATTACCTAAAGGCAATAACCCGTAGTCTAAGGGAAATTCAGGGATACAGAAATGGTAGTAAAGAGTTTGTTCACCTTTGTACCCTAATTCTCGAACCATATCATCGAGTTCATGGACTGAAAATAAATCAGTGTCAACGTTATCTACGTATGATAAGTACCATCGACGTATTTCCTTCCAGGTGACTTGGTGAAGACACCACTATAGTGTATTTTCAACGTGAAATAGTTATCATATCCCTCTGCAAACACAAAAATAGAAAGGGTAAAGAAGATGATTTATCTTCACGAATACATTCAAGGAAAACAAAAACTTAAGTTTATATATATATATATATATATATATATATATATATATATATATATATATATATATATATATATATGACAAATCTTACCGTATCTCGATTGCAAATCCTTCAAGCACGCATTTTTTCACGCAAACACCATATTGACAGAACCATTGTCCTTTGGTGCTGTGTAAACCCTAAACCCCAATTTCATTTCTTTGATGAGAGTGATCTGTTGAAGACGAAGTCATTGTACTCTTGGGAGATGAAGAGTGTTTGGGAGTTGACGTGAAGAAGACAGTGACATAATCATTTCCCTCAATAAAGAAGAGGGCACATGTGAAAAGACCGATTTACCCTTATATTATTTTAATGAAATAAGGGTTAACGGTGGGGTTCTAACGGCGTGAGGGATAAGGACCATCTGTCAAAAGTTTTGAAAGCACAGGGACCATCTATGAGATTTTTAAACGGGGACTAAACTTCAGAATTTGGGAAAACACAGAGACCATTTATGATGTTTTTTCTATTTTAAAACAAAAGTTGACTTTTATCATAAAAATGTGTTGTGTGTGTGTGTGTATATATATATATATATATATATATATATATATATATATATATATATATATATATATATATATATATATATATATATATATATATATATATAAAATCATGGACATACTTTGGACCATTTTTAAAATTAGGACAATCACAAAGGGTAAAAGTAGAAATTAGGCTCATAGGATGCAATCTTTTTAAAAATTTGATGGCATAATGACCAGAAAGACAACATTGCACAACTAATTATTAAGTTTTGACTCATGCAAACCCAATTTTAACCACTCAAAATTAAATTAAAAGAGCTAAAGAATATTGTAATTGGTCATGGTTGTCATATGGGTCATGCTCATACTCCATGTCACACTCATCCCCACCTATTATTATTCCCCACTCACACAATTATGTTTAATAACATAGTGATTTGTCGCCATGGTTGTATGAATTACAAAAAGGCCCTTGTAATGTGCACAATGTTAAAAGTTGGTATGGAAATTGTTAGTGTTGTACAAGCCAAAAGCAAATACAAAAAAGGGTTGCAGTGTTGTACCATATTATATTACACACTATATTAAGATAGAGATTGTAACCGCAAAGGTAAAAGATCCCAGCATGAAAAAGGTCATCTAGCAAGAAGATGAAGGACTCAAACTGAAAATATAGCTGACATCACTTGTCGCTTTCCTCATCTTTCCTGTAGCGGCTCACTTTTTTTAGTCTTTCCAAATTCAGAAAAGTGGTGAACGAATTCAAGGGCAATTTATGTAATTTACTATTTTTGTGAAACAAATTAAGTATGTAAGGGTGTCTTGGTAATTTTAGTCATCCAAATTTCAGTTATTGTAGTTATTTTCAGTTCGACTTACTCAAAATAGTTACAAAACTAACAAGAAACAAATGGAATAAAATTTAATCATTTGGAATATAATGCTTATATCTTACAAAAATAACTACTTTCATTGTCCAAAAATGCAACCATTTACCCAATTTGTGATCCAAATATCCTTTAAGAATTGATGCAATGTATTTCCAATATGATATCTGAAAATTGCCATAATTATTTGGTGAAATTTTGCTGTCACATGTCAATTAACACATCTCTAATGTATTAGGTAATATTAAACATTCACAAAGTATTTCCATTATGGACATTGACCAAAACACCCCTAATATACAATTGAGACAGTCGCAACCCGTCATTACAGACAAAGGGTGCTTTTTGTAATTTCCATACAGACATCAACAAAAAGGAAAAACTCACAAATATTCGAATTTAATGAAAAAGGAAAGGGCAAAGTGTAGGTGGATTTTTTTTTCTATTTATTTCCCGGGTCGGGTCGGGTTGAGTGGGGTCGTGGATTGGGATCAATTAATTGACAGCAGCGGGATCACCTGCGAGTCTTGATGGTGGCGTCGCCGTCATGCGCCATGGCTTCGGTGACAGACGCTAATTTTTGCAGATTTAACTTCACCACCGTGTCAGCAAAAAGCCGTGTGTCCTCCTCCGTGTTCCCCTCCGGCACATCCACCACATACGATTCTAAGACCACCGTGATAGGCGGTGCATCCACCGCGCTAATTATCTCATGCACCGTTGTCACAGCATGATAATTCCTCAATCTGTGTTCACCGCCGATGATCGTAAACCCCATCACGCGTTTCTCATCATCCAACAAGTCTAACCGCTCCGTGCTGGTTGCTGCCGGCAATCCTGATATGACGTTGACATCACGCGTGCACCCAACCGTCATTGTGAAGCCTTCACTAACGGTGCAGCTCTTGATGAAGTGCTTGTATGTCTGCGGTTTGTCAAAGCGACGGACGACAGACCAGACGACGGCGGCCGGCGCGTGGATGTGTTGGGCGAGTAGGGAGGAACATTGGGATGAGGTGAGATGGTAGGTGTGGAAGTCGATTACAAAAGGTTTCAACTGGTTGAACTCATCCTCGGTCAAACCTGGTGGGGCCGACAGGTGGTGGGTCGTCGTTGTGGTGATGGTTTGGGGCGGTGGCGGTTTGTCCTCTTCCGGCGCGGCGGAGGATTCGCCTTTCTCCATTTCTTGACACTAATCCAGCTTGAGAGAGAAATAAAAATGGATATTGGAGGAGAGAGAAAGAGGGGGGTTGTGGGGGGATAGATAAGGACTAAGACTTGTTTTAAGTTTATAAGAGAGGGACTTCTAGGTGATATGAGGGTATAATAGGAAATCACTTTGTCTCTTTATTTTTTTTAAACTAAAAATGTCGAGTATTCCGTGAGTGACATAGGGGTATACAATGATAATAAAAAATAGGGAAATTTTATATTTACCTCTAAAACTGTTTAAGTGGAATATAATTTGATAATTTATGTGATTTAGATGATACGTATATTAACATCCGTGCAATATAATTTTGATCTTGTGGTTTGCATAAAATATTAGTTTTGGTTTTAGTGTTGGAATATAATTATGTATGGATGGGAAATATGATTATGAATGGTTCTTATTTCACTTTTAGTATTTTTTAGTCCTTGAAACTTAATTTTTTGTGTTGTTTATTCTGTTAAATATGTGTGAAAAAATAACTTTTTCCTCGCACCAAAAAAAAAAAAAAAACTATATTAACCATTTCTATAAAAACATCAAACTATAAAAAGAAAAAAAAAACATTCTAAATAGACAAATTTTCTAAGATCTCTCGTTATGTAGAATCCTACTATTTTCTATTACATGAAAATTGCATCAATGAACGAGTTTTCAAGTACATATACAAATTATTATGCCAATAGGCTTAAACAAGATTAAAATACCATTTAATAGTTGCTGATTGAGTTAGTACTCACTGAAATACAACTAAATGATACAACATTATATGTACACTAATAATAGCAACATAAAATTCTAGTAATGGATGAAGTAACTAATTAGGTCTTAAAAGTTATTTCATTCATAATACACATCCAGACTATACAGATACACATACGCTTAAAATAACTTGGATGTAATTTACACACCAAATTAAGCTTATATAGCCATCACTACATATAGCCACATGTAGAACCCCATGCGTTTTCAGATCTTGAAGATGGTTGAAGATGATGATCCTTATTCACCGACGTCAATGTAAGATCTAGGAAAGGGGCAAACCACATAGATTTGAGAAAGGGGCGATATAGATCTACTTCTTTTCCGTTTCAGCTTCTTTTCGTTGCTAGGTCTGCTTCAGATCTGTTCATCGAGAGGTTCTGGTTTGGTTAGGGTGTGTGTTCATCAGATTTTGTGTGTGCATGCGTCTTCATCTGATTTCGTGTGTGTGTGTGTGTGTGTTTTCATCTGATTATGTGTATGTTTCATCTGATTTTGTGTGTGTGTATGCATTCATTTGATTTCGTGTGTGTGTGTGTTCACCATATTTCGTGTATGTACATCTGATATGATTTTGTTTGTGTGTTCATCTTGTTACGTGTGTATGTATGTGTGTGTCATCTGATCTGATTTTGTGTGTGTGTTCATCAGATATGATTTCGTGTGTGTGTGTATTCATCAAATTGGGGAGAACCCAAGAATAAACCCATATATTGTGTATGGTTTTTGTTTATGAGATGATTTTTTGGTGGAGATGAAGTGGCAGAAAAAGTTTAGGTGGAGATGGAGGTAGTGGAAGGTGGTGTTGGCGGACCGTGGTCAAACATGGTAGTGATGGAAGATGTTCTCGAGTGTTTTGGAATCTATCAATATGTTATTGGGTATTTATCAAACATAATGAGAGAGAGAGAGAGAGAGAGGGGGGGGGGGAGGTGTATTTTTTTAAATTGTTGTAAAGAAATAAAAACTAAATTAAAAGGGAAAATTCATCATTTTGAATGTTTTAGAATAACTTAGGATAAAATTCGCTACAAATGAAACATTTTGGACTACTGGTACAACTCTAAAATATTTTGGACCAAACATTTACTTTTTAATATATCATGGGGATCCAACATGCAATTTTATCTTTTTCATATATTACCCTAATTTAATTACTGTTGAAATTTGTTGTTTTAATTTCTATTTTTTTCATTTATGTTTACACCTAATGATAGATTTTATGGTCGTTGTTTTTATTTAAAACTAGACAACTATGAATTTGTTTATTGCCATTTTACCTGTTACGACATTCAATTCCTAATCTATTAACTCAAACTAATTTATGTTTGATCAAAATATAGAGATTTGTTTACCAAAATATTATAGGTGAAAAATGTAATTACAAATCTATTGTGGTTTGAAATTTATTTATCCCAAAAGAAGTAATTTAATTTTAAATGTTATTACCTATATTAAAGAAATAATTAAAAATGGTCGGACCCACCGGTCCTTCCGTCTATCTTATCATTCTCCTTCTTCGGATCATTAAGTAGTTTGGTCGTTCAATTGGATGAATTATGGGATTGAAGGTCAATAATGATACATCCAAAGAAACCATCCCCGAAGTAGCAATGTCATATGCATTGATACTTTACATCTACGACTTCAGCTAGCAACCTCATTTAAGTTAAACTCCGACTCATTATAAGAAATCTTTTAATAGATACCCTACTATCTTGTAAGGCTTTTTATATGATGATTGATATCGTCTTATTTTTTAGAAACTCATAATTGAAAAATCTAAGAGTTGACTAAACCACAATACTAGACTATTAGGTAATACAATTTTTTTGTGTTATACACACATGTTGTTCAAACCAATGAGAAAAAGGTTGAAACCAAAAACTCTTAAGTACCTTGTTTTTTATGGCTAAAACTCTTAAGTACTTCTTCAATATGTTATTGTTCCTGCCTTGAAAACTATTTAAACAAATTTAAAAATATTAGTTAAATGTGACTTAAGCATTTGGAGCATACCCATGGACATTTGAGTTCAATGGAGCACTTGAAACTTAACGAAGCACTTGGGACTCATTGTGCATGTAACAATGGAACGGGTCATCTGAGAAGCGAATGGATCATCTAATAAAGGAAATGATTAAGTGACAAAGGAATGAAACTTCTAAAAGGGGGTATGGAACACCTAGAAGAGGTATTGAGCACTTGGGAGTGGAATGGAGCACCTTCGTGTATGGATGTGCCATCTATGCTCAAGGTGTGCGATTGTAGACATAGATGCGCCACTTTGGTGACAAGGTGTGCCATTAGGAAGGATGGTGGGCCATTGGGGAACAAGGTGTGCCACTTGTGAAGGAGGATGCACGACTTAGAAGTTGCATGAGCCACTTAGAAGCCTGATTTGCCATCTATGAGGAATGTGCACGATTCCTGGAGGATATGCGCCAACCCTTACTCAAGATGCACCATCATCACCCTAGATATGCCACCTTGGTGCAAGGTGCACCATTTGGTTCCCTAGTAAGCCATGGTATCCCTTGATGAGACACGTGTGATATGAAGTCCCCTATGATGCTTAAGATTGTTCAAGGATGCTCAGAAGTTGAATATGCTTAAGGAATACACCAAGGTGGATGATGCACCACTAGTGTTCATAATGCACAAATTATGCATTATGATACTCTACTATGGCTCATAGTGCTCCGCCATGTGCGTTGTTGAGGCTCATGTGTTGTTTGTCATGGATGAATGTTACAGAAGCTACCGCATGTCAGATTATGATTGGTTGATACCATTCATGTGTCTATGGGCCAATGGGCTTAGCCCTTTAGGGTTTTGGGTCTGATCCCTTCCGTATAAATAGGGATGCATGTTAGTCATTTAAATTGTCTTGTATTCTAGAGTGATAGGCGAATATATGTTTACGTGTACTTGTAACCTCTATTTAAGAGCTCATAAATAAAGAATACTCCTCTACTGCCCGTGGACATAGGTCACCTTGACCGAACCATATAAATAATGTGTCTTGTGTGCGTTTGGTTTTGTGTTTTTTTTTCTGCTTTACTTCCTAACATGTGGTATTAGACTTGCAGTTTTTTTTCCTGTGAATGAAGATGTCTACTCACAAGTTTGATTTGGAGAAGTTCAATGGTTCAAATGAATTCACTTTGTGGAAGGTGAAGATGAAGGCTCTTCTAGTTCAACAAGTGGCACTAGAAGGAGCGACAAAACTACCAAATGACATGGCAACTAAAAAGAAGGTGGGCGTCCTGATGAAGGCACATAATATCATTCTATTGAGTTAGGGTTGGATGTATGAGTTAGGTGTTTGGGTTAGAGTTGTGTACATTAGTGGTATAAGTAAATTAGGGTTTGGATGTATAAGTTAGTTGTATGGGTCGGTTACCGCTGGGTGGATCAGTGGCACAGGTGAGTTAGGGTTGGATGTATGAGTTAGGTGTATGGGTTAGAGCTGTGTAGGTTAATGGTACGGGTGAATTAGGGTTTGGATGTATAAGTTAGGTTATGGGCTAGTTACAGCTAGGTAGGTCAGTGACACAGGTGAATTAAGTTTGGATCTTAAAGTATAAATTTATTATAAATTGTCCCTATATATATATATATATATATATATATATATATATATATATATATATATATATATATATATATAATTAAATGTTACATTTATTTTATTTCCAACACTCATATAATTGTATCTTAAAGTAAAATTATTAATATACAATGACCAAATATGTAATATTTATATTAAAATAAAACACGTATCTATAAGGATTCAATTGCCAGAAGTCCATGTTTCCAATCAGTTTTACAGTTCTCTTGGTATAGATTTATATTAAAAACTAGAAAAGATTTGATTATGTTAAGCAAATTACGCAATTACAATGGGAGGCAAACCTGTTTCCATGTCATTTTTTGGCTCCAAATCAAGGCAGAAAGTTTTCATCTATCTCATCGACAAAACTGTGAAGATTATTCTGGATCAAGGAATTTTCGGTAATTTTGGTAACGAACCTCCAATTATGGTGTAGTAATTTTATACTATTTAAATCACATTAGTTTATTCCATAATTTTATCATTTCTGAATTGATCAATTGACATTAGTAAGTATTCATTCTGCACGAATTCAACTGAAATTATACTATTTGCTTATGATGTTAATGTTCTTCACTATTGTAACACCGTAAAT